GTATATAGGGTTTTTATTTATTTTTCAGGTTTTTTGAATGAAAAGAATTTTTTAGGAGTTGTTTTTAGAGGTTTCTCTTTCCTCAAACTCATAATTCAGTTGCTCAACTCCGGTTCGACACAAAAGGTACTCGGTTGATCAGCTGCAAAGTTTTTGACACCGAACCAAGGACAGCCAAATGCAATCTTCGCACAGAGAAATAGAGAAACAGAGATTTCAAAGGCAGTTAACGAAAATTCAAAGAAATTCGACAAGAACAAGACGGTTTCACAGCAAGGGATCGATATTGCGTGGCATCGTACACTTTCAATCATTAGAACTCATTTTTTTCTGTCTCCAATTCGTGTCTCACTGTCATCTCTGAGCGTTTCTCTTATCATCCAGATAGGAAATTTCGCTTGAGTTGAAATTTTTTTTGATCTTAGCAAAAGACTTCTTTTTTTTCAAGTGTACCCAAGTTGACCTTTCTTAAAGTAGGTTTTTTTTTGGAATTTTTTCTTGCGGCAGATTCGGAATTACCTGGAAGAAATAAGGCAACTTGTTTCGAGTTTATTGGAAGCGCGTTTTTCGAGATATCCGCGAAATACGTGTTGAAATGTTGAACGATTGATGGTATGTTTTGTGTTGTTTTTTTTGTGTTTTCTCGGAATTTCTATGGTTGGTTGTGCCACTGAGAGGTTAGATCTGGTGTTCTTGTTATTTGCATCGAGTTAGTTAAATTACTGGATGGAATGGTAGGGATTCTGCCATGAGTTCATTTAAGGTCAAGTGTTGATGTGTTAGTGCCTTGATGAATGGACTGAGATGAAGGTTTGTTACTTTCGATTAGTGAGCTTTTGAATGATTCACTGGCTATTTCAATATCTGTTATCATCGTTTGTGAACAGGTCTGATAGGTCCTCCTTGGAAGTTCGTTAGGGTCCTCTCCAGTTCCACCGTATCCTTTCACTTACCATAGATTCCTGGTATTACTGAACTGAGATTGGCTAGGCACAACGACCTGCGATGCTATGGATGGTAAGAATCACTACAGATTTGATTACTTCTTCTATTCGTTAGACAATTGGGAGCTGAGTGATAAGAAAGGCTCTGAAAGAAGAACTGGAGAGGACCCTTAAGAAAGGTCGAAACCGGTCGTGGTACGCTCGATTAAAAATTCATTTATTCTTATTTTGTTTTGTTTACTTGAGGCGAGTGGTGAAACGATGCAGTACTGTTCTATCAACGTGGAACGACGAATGTGAGTTCCGATAATCATCACACTGTGTTTGAAGTGTAACAGTTAGCACAAAATGAACTGATCGATGCTGACTTGTTACAGGGCGCTGGTAACAGTTATCCATGGAAAGAATTCAACCTTCAGATTATCTTGGATAGAATATCTCGGTAAGTCACAGGCTAGTCGATTTGATACTCGTGAATGCACTAGTGAGGTAGTTCAAGTCAACGGTGATGTTTCTATTGATTCATGCTTGTGCTCTATACTATCCGATGATTTCGGTAGTTGAGGTACATTCTTGGTCATAGTATCTGATATAAGTCGTTGAGTTCATTTGAATTATCTGCTTTACAATAGTATTTGCCACCCTCACCCTCGCCTGCTGCTCGTGTCGAAGATGATTGTGATTGTTCGGAATTGGTTGAATTGTAAAGTTGTGACATCGATTGTCGGGAAACGATCCATATGCTCGTCGATGATGAAGAAAAAGATAGAGGCACTTGCTGAGATCGACTGAAAGCGGTAATCCTTCGGATGTTGGACGGCAGATTGGAACTGGTTGCTTTATGCAATCTATTTGTTGATCCGGTGTGTATGGAAGGGATGGTATGGAGTTCAAGTAACATTGTGGTGAATGTGTTGAGTAGGGTACACTTAAAGTTGTTTCACGACACTTGTATGTGTATCTACATTTACTGTCACTGCTTTAGCTTGGTTCATCGTGCGGTGGCTTCGATTCTTCAAACACGGGAAGATTCCTTTCTGCGTTTTGCGTCATAGATGAAAACCGAATGAATGTCGGGATCAGACATGTGTCGCATGAGGTCTCTCACGATCCCTATCGTGTAGAGATATGGAAAGATTGGGAAAAGTTATATGTGTGAAATGGGTCCAATGCTTCCACGAATCCTCTAGTCTCGATATGTTGTGTGGAAGGGATGGGTATGGTCTCCGTATAGTAGTCCATCGCTGACGGTATTAAGTGCTGTCACTTCTTATCATATGGTGTCCAGCGATGATGAAACACGGCAAAGATCTTGCTCACCCGACATTCGAACATTGAAGATAGGACACAGGAGGCTCATGCTGACTGAGACGACATTGATCTTTCTGAATCGTTGTCGAGCATACCAAGTCGATGGTGCACAGAAGAAAACATCGATAGAGAAGGTCACTCGAGGATGGGAGCGTGACAGATGTATATGATTAGACGTTTGTACTTTCCTACTTGCACTCATTCGACATGGAAAAGTCTCGGGCCTGAGCATTCGTGTGCAATGGGTAAGGAGTCTAGCATTCAATCAAATATACATGCTGTGATTGTTGCGGATCTCTAGAGTGGCCGTCAGAAATCTGGTGAAATCGAACAAGGGGCGAACTATATCGGATGAAAAGATTCTTCTAGAGGGTAGGAATGGAGTCTAGATCACATCGCAGATAGATGGTATGTCTATGGTCAATCTCTAGAATGGCAATCGGAAAGATGATTGGAAGAGCGATCATCAATGAAAGATTGTGAAAAGGAGCGAATTAAGTCGGAAACAAGGATTGGAAAAGAGGGTAGGAACACATTGGTATGTGCCTAGACGTTTGCACCTTCTCGACATACGGACGATCATGAAAGTCTCGGGCTTGAGCATTCATTAGTGTCGTGGGAAGGGAGTCTAGATTCTACGGACGGACATGTGGAGTGGCAGTCGGAAAGAACATGAAGCAAAGTGACAAGTACCGTTGGGCAACAGGGATGGCGAGCATTTGGAAGCGAGTGATATGATAGATGATGAAAAGGGGCGAAATGAATCAGAAACAAGTACCGTCTCAGAGACATATGAACACTTGTGTATATTCTTAGACGTTTGCACTTTCTACTTGACACAGGTACGATAAACGAAGTGTCAGGCCTGAGCCGTGCTGAGTGTCATCGGAAAGAAGTCTAGATTCGATCGAATATGCATATTGTGTCTATGGAGAAAGGGCTAGCTGATAGTCGGACCGGAGAGCTGTCGTTTGAAACGAAGAAAGACGCTTGTACTTTTCTATTCGCACTCACAGAATAACGAAAGTCTCGGGCGTGAGCATTCCTGTGTAGTAGAAAAAGAGTCTCATCTAGAATAGAATATTCTTGTACGTGTTCCTGCGTCGATATCGATTGATACCGGTGCAAAGGATGACGCGGATCAAATTCGTTTGAATAGTATGGAAAGGATAGTGTTCTAATCAAAGTTGCCTATTGTTTTAGGTCTTAATCCTGTTGGAAATACAACTGCTGGCTGATCATTCGGTCCGACGTATAATGTTTGCTATCGTTTTCCCAAATGCCTTTTCTATGTGTGCTTGTTGAGATCGATGAAACTATTTGTAATAAATGGTGATCAGCCGAAAGTGTTTGCTAGTCTGCTTATATTCGAAAGTATTCTTTTCTGTTCAAGATTATCGTCTTCGATGGAGAACAACATTGACCATTCATCAAATAATCAATCTCACTCACAGTCAGTGGTCTCAGCGAGTACACAACGGTCTGTCAGTACGGCGTTACCAAGTGTTCAGCATAGCTCCAGTCCATCAATTACCGTGGGACAACAACAAGAACGGGAACAACGATGAAAGAGAGAAAGAGAAGTAGTACGGCAATGGCAGCCAAGAAGACAATGGAATGTCGACACGTATGAAGATTATGTACAAACGCAATTGGAACACTACTTAGAAACGGAGAATCTTGAAATCCAACAATTAGAAAACGAATTCAATGAACAAGTGAATCGGATAGAGCAAATCGAACAGATGGAAGAAGAAGAATTACAACAGATGAATGCTGAGCAACTACAAGAACGAGAGCAATTTGAACAAAAACAGCTATTGGAACAATTACAACATTTGGAGCACTCTCAGCAATAAAATCAAGCGCATGATACTTAGATACTTCGTCCTGTTTCTTTCTTCATCATACGTAACGTATATCTATAATATTTCAGATTATTCTGAATCACACACTTTTTACATCATCGTCCGATGCTGACAGCCAACCACCACCAGGTTGCACACAAAGCACAAGTAAGGGACAGACCAGGTCTAGTTGAATGTCATATTGATGTTCTTCTCAAGAATGGAAGCTTTGAACAATTCACAGACGGCAATCGGGAAGCCGATCCAGAGAACAGAGAAGATCGTATGGATGATCAAAGTGGCGAAGTCTGTTTATTAGGGAAAAACACACAACGCGTCCAATCAATCCATCGTCTCTCAGTGACGAGCCTTGATTTATTTCGCACGAGAATACGCTCAATAGAAATGCTATTCTTGTTAGCCTTTAGATGAACATACTCTATCACAGCAAATGAGTCACCTATCTACTTCTCGACAACCGACGATCAGTTCAACCAACGTCAAAGATGATATCGAGGCAATTCCGAATTATCTGTCGAAGAAGAACAAATCATTCAAAGATGTCATCTATCGAGCCTCATCATCATCATCGTTATTGAAAAACAAAATGAAAGGATTAAGACGAATGGTCATTCTGATGTACAAAATAATGCTCATTCAGATTTATCATACTCTATGGTCAACGTATTTGAAATCAGGCACAGGGATACTCAAAGCGAAAGAACTGCCTGGTGTGAAAGTTTGGCCAACAGAAGTAAAATCATTAGTGATGAAGCAAAAAGCAAATGAAGATGAAGCTTGTCTAGCTTGTGTCAATCATTATCTACGTCATCTTGATGACAGAATGGAACACTATCGTGATGAACTGAACAGGATTAACGGTCAATTATGTGTGAATACACAAACAATTGAAACATTCGTTCAACAAGGACTTGAAGCTCGGCGGTTGGAAATGGAACATAAAGTTACACTCGTTCACCATGATTATAACGACCGCGTATTAGAATCCGAATATCTGCAGCAAAAGCCGAGTAAACATCAAGTAAGATCTGTGCAGCATACTTCATCCGCTTGGATATCGTTCTTCTCTTCTGCCGAATAGAAGCAAATTGCTAGACGCCTTTGTCAAGCGAAATATAAACAGGAAACATCCAAGCAGGAATACAACTTACTTAAAACACGTATCTCCAACTACGATCGTTCGAAGGCGTCTGGATCACATAACGAATTGTTTGATTCAATTGATGATCCAACGGCTAGAGAGCAACAATTCTATAATCGATATAGACAAGTCATTCAGAAATCGAACGATGAAATGATCAGTCTTTATCTAAGTTCAGCTGAAGCTCAAATGCAATACTATCAAAAACACTTCAACGATGAATTAAAGCGAATCTGGGAAGAACAGCGTACTGCTCGCATTACTGAAAAACTAACCGTAGCTATGCTCCATCTAATCGAACAACGCTACAATAATATCAGTGACCGTGTGAAATGTGTTTACGACTTTCGTGTTCATCTTCTTGATTTGAATTTATCTATTTGATTGCGGTTAGATGATAAATGTTCTCTCTATTTGAACTCTTTTCTTCCTTCTGCTGCTTGACATCTATCGACGATTCATTTCAGATTATTACTTCGCGGAAATCATGGATGCCTCATCTTCAACACAAGTACTGACTGGACCCGCACAACAACGAAGAAAATCTCATGGAAATCAGGGATTGAGACGTTATCGAAGAAGATGCTGTATTCGAGGAATGAATGAAGCAGAAACCGTTCAGGTAAGTGAATAATGTGATCATATCAACAAAAGTCAATACTGTTTCGTTTGAATCCAAGTCTGAGCATCATTCATTATCCAATGCAATGAATGAAGATACCACAACAACATCAGATAAGAAACGTAAGCGAGTGCTTCAATCGTCGAGTCAGCTATCAATGGTGCAACCATTACCAAAGAAGCTAAAGGAGAAACGGAAAGCTACCACGGCTTCAGTGATCAATGTGAATCAGAACTATCGGTTTGTTCATTGTAAACATTCATGACTGTGTCAAACAGCAACTGTTCTTATTTGGACGACCCTTCTATTTGAAAGTGTTGTCGAGCATCCTTATTCAATCGCTACGCCAACATCTACATCAGAAACTGAAGAAAAAATCGAGCAACGATTTCTATATTCACGGCTTCAACTATTAGATCGACAGTTTTATCTCGATCTTGATCGACACAAATGGCAATCGTATTTCGACATTGGATCACAGCATCAACTATGGCCGGTAAGCTTCTATCACACGAGATGTTCACAGAAGAAAGATTCGTTCGAATATGTATAGAACGAAGTATACACGATTGCAAAGACAACCGAGCATCACTCATGCCAAAATTTGGTCGCTCATTACTTACATGAAATTGTTCGTCAGCTCGATCTATGTAATGACGAATTATTGTCGCAATCTCAATCGTGCCCATCGATATTCTTACCATTGGATATCTTGGATCATCGTCTCCACGATTTTGTCAGTTTACAGCGGAAATATTTGCTGCAGAGAAACGACGAACAGTTGGCAAGATTCAAAGACTTGATTCAAGAAAAAGACGTATTTCGTAATCTTCTGGAACATCATATCCGTGTTGATCAAGTATTGAATCCACCTAGATTATATAATGAAGCATCTATTCATGTCTTTATCTTTCGTCTCTGTTTCTCGTAGAAAGTAGCACTTGATCATCTCATCATTCTACGCGACAAACAGCTGAAGACTTTTGAAGAACTAATGATGTTTGAACAACGAATACTAAATCATATTTTGCCTCAGGATTTCGATAAGATGGAAGATCTTATTGCACCTGATATATACCGGCCTCCAATCAATGACACGATTGCTATTGCATTTAACAAGGAACGATCGAAAATTTTACAAGAAGCAAAACGGACTATACTAAATATGTATGTCCACGCTTATGCGATGAAAAGTCGAGAATACGAGAGACAGTATCGCCAGGACTGAGCCGATTTAAACAAGAAATTATAAATAATGGACATAAGAATGAAACATGTTCTCAAGGTGCAATTACCGTCTACATGAACCATCGGACAAACCGAATCAAGCAAGAAGTGTTTCATAAGATATCATCATTTCGAAAGCAACTACTACGTCGTCGTCAACGTTCATCAGCGTCAAAAAAGAATACCGTCGACGTATGTCCACAAGTGATTCTGGATGTTGGCCATGTTCCATTGAATGCAGCCCAATTGAAATATCTCTCACGAGGTAAGCCTGTCTTTCTACTATGGAATAGACATACATGCCCATTTGATCATTTTTACTATTCACTAGGTCCAGGCTATATTAGGCCGAATCAAAGTTCTCTTCGGCCCTATCATCGACAAATGAATCGTGTGAAAAAAGAAGAAACTGAGCTCATGAATAAAATTCTCAAGTTTTTCTCTGAGAATCATTATATGCCACGGTCATTGCCAATTTTCAAGCAATATGCGGCACAACTTCATGATTGTCTTGTACTTCGTTACACGGCATCGTTATCCTTTACCGATCAAATCCAAGCTCGACGAGAGTTCAATCTTACTAAACTTATCCGGCGAAAATTTAAGCGAAACAAACTGATCCTTCGCGAAACAGATAGGAGCGGTGTTTTTCATGTCGGACGAGCAAGTGATTACGAGAAAAAAGCAGCTATGTATCGCATAAAAACCGGTGCTTATGAAGAACTTCATTCCAACCCGTTCGATGAGATATTTACCAAAGTTGTTCGCTTTCTCAATCATCTCAAGACAAATAAACAGATAATGGAATGGCAAAGAGTGAAAATGACACCGGTTCGAGACAAGGCAGAGCTATCTTACCGATACTTTCTTCCTAAAGCACACAAGGTAAAAGAATGCTCTATGTAAGAAAACAGACTTGGGTTACTGTCACCTTCTATGTAGGAAGGGACACCGCTTCGACCCATCTCAAACACAAAACGTGCTGCCACAACAGGCATCTCGAAGTATTTAGATCAAATTATTCGACCGTTATTTGATAAATATGCTAAAAGCACTACCATTGTCGATGGCGTCGACCTACTCGACAAACTTCAGAGATACATTGCAGCAGGTTATCTCACAGCATCAACTTTGTTTGTGACATTCGATATTATTGATCTTTACACGATGTTACCTCAAGAAGAGGCCCTTGCAATTCTTGCAGAATTTCTTCATGAACACGGATGTGAAAAAGTGGAGAAAATTTCAATTGAGACTATCGTATAGTTGGCTCGTCTTGTTCTTCAAGAGAACGTTTTTGTTTATGACAAGAAATATTATCGACAAGTCATTGGTGGTGCAATGGGATCACCGTTCATATTAACGTTGGCTAATATCTTCATGTGGAAATGGGAAAAACAAACAATATTATCTAAAATATCTAATGTTGAAGTGTATGGCCGGTAAGTATCCTATTCGTTTAAGGATCCAACACTGATCCTTTCGTCTCTTCACAGATATATTGATGATAGCTTTTATACATCGAATGAAACTGCAGAGAAAGTTCAAGAAATATTAGAAACAGCAAATCGATTGCATCCAAACATTAAGTTAACCTGGAAAATAAGCAAAGCTGTTTCATTTCTCGATCTTTGCATCAGTAACAATGACGGTCATCTTTCGTCATCCGTCTATCATAAACCAAGATCTGAACCATCACTTGTTCCATTCTTATCTGATCATCCTCGACATGTATTTCGAAACATTGTACACACTGCCCTTATGCGAGCGATTCGGTATTCATCATCATTCGAACTATTCGACGACGAACAGCGTTCCATACGTCTACTGTTACTTTACAATGGGTAAGTCGTTCGTTTTGAAAAGAGATGCTAATTTATCCGAATCATACGAAGATATCCATCCACGTACATCGACTCCCAGTTTCGAACGTTCTTCGAAAAATACATCTACTTGACAACACAGGTGCTACCAATGATCGACGATGAGAAAGACTATCTTTCTATACGTTACAAATTACAACAACAACCCAGTGCAAATCAGACGAAGATAACCAAAAACGCTCAAAAGGTCCGTTTTGATACTGAGATCCACAATGGCGAACAATGTCAGAAACCAAATGTGATAACAATGGACCCTACCAAGAAGGAGAAGTTCCAGAAAACTCTCATTGTTCATTGTCGACATGAGCGGAGGCTAGAAGCCATGAAACGTGACATGCATCACATTCATGATTCAGTCTTCCAAGGAACACCGGCTATGGATATCAGAATGATTGTAGGCCATACGAATAATCGATCAGCCAAAAGGGAATTCACTCAAGCACGTCCAACCATGACCTTCCTGAATCCCCCGACAAAACCCAGTAAGCAAGGAGACTTATTCAATGTTGTGGGAACACCAACAGCGACCTCGAACTTTTCCTATTCCATTTAGATCAGGACCCAAAAAATTCCGATCGACGTAAACCCTCCAATCAGAAGAAACGTTTCTCGAGCAAACGGAAAAATACCAAAAAACAATAAACATCCGAGATCAATACTACATTGGCCAGCACTACCACAGACACACAACATCTAACGACCCTAGCCTTTCCTGAACAAGAACCGAACCATCTCTGACCGAAAATGATCATGGATTCGGAGAATCCATAGGACGGTGAATTAAAAATATACTTCTGTGTGTTGAACGCAGGTTCTTCTGCGCAATAAATTGCAAAATGATGACTTCGTGAGGTAAACAAGGGATCACCGCGCGAGGAAAGAGTGTAAGAAAGAATAGCTCGTTAGAAACGAAACTAACTGACGAGTCCCTTAAGCAAGGACGAAACCGGTCTTGGTGTGCTTGTCTCACCCTCACACCCCACCCTCACACCTTCACATTAGAAAATCTTAACGAAAAACTGAAAGGTCTAATCTCTTTTACAAAATAGTTGTCAGTGTCAATATTATAGTGTTTTTGTATATGCATGAAAGATCCAGGCGATTATGATAAGATCTGATGATTGATTAACAGGAACCGATCGGATACTTTCCGACGTAATCCGGTCCGGAATCCGACAGCAAAGACTGCGACCAAATATACGTCGGATCCGATTGGTTTTTTTAAAGGAATGCATCGATTTCCGATGCAATCCGATGTCGGATCGGACCTTTTCCGATAGAATCCTCATGCAGGATTGAATATTCTGGATACTAACTTATATCTATCCTTCAAACATTATTCATTTAGATATCAGATTTTCTTGTTCTTTGTTTAAGAATTATAAAATTAACTATTCAGTAAAATAAAAGCTTCCAAATGAATAGTTCCTCGTCATTACCGACCTATCTTCTACATTTCCTACCCACGCATTCTTTCTAAACATTACTGTAACTCCGGTGAAATATGCATCTTATTTGTGATCTCAGGATCATCAGAATAGAGTCCGTATGTACAATAGAGCCGCCTGATGAGACCCTTAAGCAAGGTCGAAACCGCGATCACGGTGTGTTTCTTGATTCAACCTTACCCTTCAAAAAACTGTCGCTGCGCGGCACATTAAAAGGTCACGTACAGAAAACACAATAGAAAACGTTTTTTATATTTATGGCGGAAAATTTTTTATTCTTCCGTGTGATGGGGTTAAGTGTCCTTCTGTTTGTCGTCCGACGGTTTTTTGACGGGCATACCTCTTTTAAACATTTTTGAGATACTTGCAGCCCTAATCCTACTCGCTTGGCGCGGTCACTGAAAACGAAGGAACTTATGTAGAAATTAGAGACGTTATATATGTTTTAGTATCATGTACAGTTCAAAATAGTAGAAAAGTTGTTATGGTATCTGTTGGCGTATGAAAAAATAAACTACTCAAAATAATAAGGTATTTCGGACATTCTCTAGATCAAATCGGTGATTGATGTCAGACAGTCAAATGATCAATCGGGTTGTTTGGTTTACAATAAAATGCCATGATACATGCTTCACAGCAGTGAAAATCGTTACGATCTTTTGTTGTTTGAGAGTGATAAAGAAGTTAAAGTAAGGAGTGACTTTCCAAACACCCTCTAGTTCGAATTTTGTATTATAACAAACAAGGCTATTTATTAGTTATTTATTAGTTATTTATATAATAAACTCTTGGTTTATGTAATTACTAAGGATGTTGTCAGAACTTTTGGTTAAATCTGAACGAGCATATTATAATAAATATTAGTCTTAATGATGCCATTTCAGCAAAGTCAGCGATTCAGATAGTAGAATTGTTCATTCTTTAATTCACTCGAATGTTTGATTACTTAAAATACTATTTTTTTTCCTTTCAAGTCGTAATTATAACTACACTTATTTTCATTAATTTGTGGTTAAATGTTTATTTCTTGATTAAATGAATAAATAAAAGAAAATATGTAACAAAAAAAACGTTACACGCAAAAAAATGAAGAAATCTCATGTTCAGTTTTTTTTTCAATTACATGAATTCACTGGCAATAATTGTGTTGACCTGTTGCATTACTTCCTTCAATAATGATGATGTATCTGCTTGGTTTAATTTCACTCGTTTAACTAGATGCTCTTTGCTATCTCTTTTATAAATTCCTTCAATGTTCTGTAACATTGTTTGAACATTTGCAGTGAAATCGGATAATAATAGAAATAATCTACGATTTTTAATTTCATGTATGAGAGTTTCCATTAAAGGAACATCTGGTAAGCCGCCAGGAAAGCTATCACCAGCTGTGCCACTACAAAATGGTGTATGCCCAGGAGCATCACCAACCCAAACCAATATTTGTGCTGCACGTGAACTACTATTCTTTGCCCAGTTTAATTTAAGTGCTTTCTCTAAACCACCTTGGACGTCTTCGCACTCGTCGGCACCACCGCTTGCTTGTTGGCTTGCGATTTTAGCTTCAACTGGTCCAAGATTAGGAGTTTGATGAAAATCAATTAGATCAAAACGATTTGAATCTGTGTAATCGCGATAGGCAACAAATGCCATACGCAGAACACTATCTTTATCATATTTTTCTTTCATTTCTTTTTGTATTCCATCGGCAATAGCTTTAATGTGTTGTTTACATGCTGTAATCCAACTTCCCATTGAACCTGTACAATCCATAACAAAACAAATTTCAACTGTCAATGGTGAACTATGAACACTATTTGAAAATGTTAAATCAATACTACGTTTTGCATTTTGTGTAATTGCATCAAAATGTGTTTTCATTTCTTCAGTCCATACTTCATCTGTTGTTGAATACATTTTACCATCTTCTCCTCGAATTGTTGATGTTTTATCTGCATGAAAGGAATCATAAGGTGTTTGTCCGTCACTTTGTTCAGTCGACCAATTAATAAGCGCATCACAAAGTAAACGTGGATTTTGTGCAATAATCCAATCATTGAATGCTAAAGAAACACCATTCGATTCGAAACCAACACCAATTCCAATAACAGTTATTGAACGTTGTTCAGCATAAGCAATAATATTTTGTATAAAACTACCACGTTTATCAAAACCATCGGTGAGAGCAAAAATAAACATTGGTCCATGATTATTATTGTATGATGATTGTTGTTGTAATAATTCAGTGGCTGCAAATATAGCATCACTTAATAAAGTTGTTTCACCATCAATTTTTAATGAATTTAAAAGATGATGTACAAATAAACAATCGTATTTTTGTTTATAACTTTTAATTAATTGTATTTGTTTTCCAAATGTTAAAACATTGAAATCTTCAATACCAATTTTATTCAATGCTGCACACACGGAAATTAAAATATCTACAGATGAAAAATACGTAGGACCAGTCATTGAAACAGATTGATCAAGAAGTAATGCAATACGATATTCGGGTTTTTGTGAACCGATTTGATTAAGATAAATTCTATTATATTGTCCTTGTGTACAAATAAATTTAACAATACCTGGTATATATAATCGACTTCCTCGTGTATCTGGTAATGATTGTGTTGGTTTATATGCTGGAAGAACATAATCTTCCATGGTACGTACTAATTCACCAATATATATTTCAAGTTCTTGTTCGATTTGTTGGAGGATTTTATCTGTTTGTGTACACATAGTATCATGTGTTTCTAAATTCGAATAACTTTCCTCGAGTGCTTCTAGTGTTTTATCGATGATTTTAATAAATTCATCTGAAGCAGATGTAAGATCGGTATTTATTTGTTGTTGAAATGTTTGTTGTTCGAGTTTTTGTCGAAAATCATTTACATAAAACTGACCGGTATAAGAAATCTCAGGATGTTGCCATAATTCAACAGCTTTTATATGAGATAGAATAAATGGATTTAGTGGATGAAATGTAGGCGCATTATTTGTGGTTGATATACCGGATGCTTTTGAAGTATCAGTTGATCGATTACCACGAAGAACAATCGAGTGTTCAATCATATGAAAAAGATCATCGACAACTGTTTTCGTTAAAGTATCCAATTGTCCAGTTTCAATAAGTCGATTTCGATCTGGTGCTATACGTTGTATGAATTCTTTAGCTTTTTTCTCATGTTCATTAGCAAATTGTCTATATTCATTTGAAAATTTTGTATCATCAGGTTTTGGTAATTCTGGAATAATACAAACCATATAAAGTTCGGCTGTTGCAAGATTTAATTGATTTGTGTATAATTCAGTTTCATCTTGAGATGAAATACCATCGGTAATCATAATAATAAATCGCTTGACATTTGGTTTAATTTGACTTCCATATAAATCTTTATTTGTAGCAATTTGTTTCAATGCTGTTGCTGGTAATGTTTTTTCATCGGTTGTAAACGATTCAAGAATATATTGTCCACGTGCTATTACTGATTGTTGAAGACTTTGAGTAGTGTTTGTTGTTGAGTCAGTTGTCGATACCATGCTATGCATTGATTCATGTCCGAGTGGTTTAAGTATTTTTTGTTCAGCACCAAATCGAACAACACCAAATTTCCATTCAAGGCGATGAAATGTTTCGAGAAGAATAACTAATGTATTTAATGCTTCACGTATTTTCTTACCACTCATACTTCCACTATTATCAACACAGAAAATAAATTCAAATTGTAAATCATCATTGGCTGCTGTTTGTTGTTTTTCGTATTGTTTTTTTAGTGCTGAACGTAAACGTGTTAATAACATTAATTGAATATTTCGTGTAAGTCGAGCTAATAGAGCATATCGTGGTTTATCTAATGTTGTTTCTGGTAAATGTTCCGGATCACAATGTTCAGTAATAGTTCCAATATCATATCTATTAGTAGATTGTAAAAGATTGGAATACATGTCTGCTGATCGCTTTTGAAAGTTTTCTAATTGTTGTTTACTGATGTTTACTTTTGAACTCTCTTGTTTTGATGTTTTTTTATCTGGCGATGGGATTCCATCTACACTGGTACCAAATTCCACACGGATAACTCCAGGTGATTTAGTGTCTCCTTTGAATGCTGATGAATTTTCTGGGCTGTCTTTTGTCACTTCTCCGTGATCATCAATCTCCAGGACCACGTCACGATTAGCAGTTGTTCGATGTTCCCCAGGCGATGTAGATGGATCTGTATTGTTTTCTGTCTCTTCATTATTTTCATCGAGAGCTGGATTCAAATCACTATCGTAATTTGCCAGAAGATTATCGAGACGAATACCTAACTTGTGTAATATCCGATCACCCATTATTTCACCCTGTTCAAATTTCGAATCTTCAAATCCTTGCAAGAGCTGTTTAATATTATCCAAATTTGTTTGCTGCTGTTGACCTTGTCCTTGATAATTTAAATCCGAGACCTGAGCACCTTCGGGTATATCATAATCATCTACTAATTCATTTTTCTTACTGAATTTCCACAATTTACGTAAGGATTCTGACGCACTTAATTTATCCAAAACTTGTATTAAGTCTCTTTGTATCTCTTGACATTTTCGTTTTATATGACCATCGATGTCACCTGTACATGATTCAATGAACTCCAATGATTGATATAATTGTAATGATGTTTGAATAACCTTGGGTAAGGTCGTTGTGGCTAGACTATCTATTTCTCTTCTCATATTGTTTGCTGCCATTTGTTGAATAGTATTCATAGTTGTCTGAATTTTATTGTTAATTTTAGTAGCCGTTGCTAAACATGTGATTGTTTCTGGTAACAATAATTCGTCTTGTTTAATTATATTTGATGTTTGTGTTTCTGATTCTTCATTTAATTCAGCTGCTTCTGATGCGAGTGTTTCTACTTTGGTTTTTGTTGCCTCTCTTGTCTCTGCACCTGTTTCACCCATCAATAAAGGACTTGTTGGGACAGTAGATTCATATGATGTTGTTTCTGTGTCTTCAATGGTACCGCTAGCTCCGATACTACCTCCACTAGTACTGCTGATACTATTACCACTACATTTGCTGGTACTTGGACTGGTACCACTGCTACCTCCACCGCTTGTAGCAGTACCAACACTGCTGCCACTACTTGTACTAGAACCAGTGCTTCCACCACCTTTGCCGGTACTTGCGCTGGTACCATTGCTACGGCCACCGCTTGTAGCAGTACCAACATTACGGCCACTACTTTTGCCGTCACTTTCACCTCTACTGCTGGCGCTATCTTTGCCGGTACTTGTACTAGCCCCTCCACTACCTCCACTACTTGTACTAGCACCATCACCGCCGCTACTACTTGTAATGGCACCACCACTACCTTTGCCAGTGCTTGCACTAGTACCGCTACTACCATCACTGGAACTTCCTCCACTACCTTTGCCAGTGTTTGCACTAGTACCGCTACTACTATCACTGGAACTTCCACCTCTACCTCCACCAGCACCACCACTACTTCCTCCTTTACCATTGGCGCTGGTACCATCACTTCCTTCACCACTTCCACCAGCACCACCACTACCTTTGCCAGTGCTTGCACTAGTACCGCTACTACCATCACTGGAACTTCCTTCACTACCTTTGCCAGTGTTTGCACTAGTACCGCTACTACTATCACTGGAACTTCCACCTCTACCTCCACCAGCACCACCACTACTTCCTCCTTTACCATTGGCGCTGGTACCATCACTTCCTTCACC